AATTACCCCCGTTTATCCCCTATATATAATTACAGAAAATGATTCTACCTAACCTAAAATCGGTTACGGTAAAAGTAAAAAGTGAAAAATATTTATATGAAAAAAACTTGCCTTTACACTTTATCCAGGCTTAGGTCTGGCAGCAGAAGCTGGCGTGTTTACAAGTTTTTTTTATTTTTTTTTTAATTTTTTGCTTTTTTTGGAATTTTTTTGTCATTTTATTTTTTTTTGTTTTATTTTTGATATTAATTTTTTTTGTATTTTTTTAAAGTTTGCAACTGAAAATTGTGAGCAATGCCTCTCAAATATTCTAAAGTTGGCCTGTCAGCATAATCGGCAACAATAGCCCTTATCCTGTTTGCTGTATCTTGATATTTTCTTTTGCGTGGAGGTACATTGCCCGAAATGTACTGCTCTATTTTCAAAACATTTAAATCATATTCTTTTTTTAGAGAATTAATAAATTTCCAAATATTCGGATGTGCACTATTAAGAAGAGAAGAAAAGCTGTTGTGCCATCCTTCGACAGCATTATTAGTTCGAGGTATATCTTGGTCTGCCAAATCGTAACAATTCCATACATTTGTTGGAAAAAGGGATTGTCTTCGATTTCCTCTTCTAGCTAATCTCCCTATCCAAGTGTCTTCAAAGTAATTAATCAGCGGCACTAGTAGTTCTTCATTTTGTGTATAAAAATCGCTATTTAGCAACTCCTCGTGCACTCTGACTACATGGTTGTCTGGAACAAACGCAAGAGCTGTCAATTGTCTTAGGTGAAGGGGAAGTCAGGATTCTCAATATATCTACGTTGCAATCCGGCACTTTGAATATGGCGCCACAAACACTGCGAGAAATGAAAAAAACATCCGCGGATTCTCACATTTGGGAACTCAGTTTGTGCAGCATTCATTGCCGCTCTTTCAAAGTCCATCATTATTGTTAAAGGGCACAAGGCCGGATTCAACACCTTTAGTTGCTAAAAAACACGTGTATAAGTATCTTGTGTTTTGTTCGTTAGAAGTGCAAATACAGTCGGGATTACATTACTGTGTCGCACTCCATGAATTGTGTATATTTGAGAAAACAATGGTGGTGCTGAGTTAAATGTTCCATCGGCATACCAATGATCGCATTGTTCCATAAATCTTAAATTTTTTTGTGTTGAAAATAACAAAATACGTTCTTCTTCTGGCCCGCTATCAAATAATAGAAATAGCTCACCGCCTGTAGTTGTTTTATATTTTTCAGGAAGCACAAGTTCTTCTAAATTTCTCGGATTTGCGGGCGTACCTCCTAGCTCGTTCCGAACTCTTTGCACAGTTTTTTTTAACGACGACACTGATGGAAGTTGTGCCGTAGCAGCTAAGGAAAGTCCTTGAGAAATTTCACTTACTACACCTTGGGTGGAGTGTTCCAGTTGTTGTGCAACTTCTTTCATCCGGTTACAAGCTTCATTTGCTTCAATCTTTGCCGTGTCTGCAACGTGATAATGTTCTGTGGATTTTGTAATTTCATCCACAACGGTATGCACTCTTCCTGTACATTTGCACTTATTATAAGTAGCACACTTCCAAATTGTCTTTTCATCAATCACTCGCTCTTTTCACAAATCACAATTAGAAAGTTTTATTTTCTTACTAATCGTTTCTATTTACATTCTTAACATTACCTGCGGAATTTATCAACCTTACCTTGGTTACCTTACCTTTACCGCGAACCAACCCGGTTCGCGTTAAACCCTCATTAGACCCCTAACTGGGCTGGTACTTGGGTTTTTCTTATCCCATACATAATTCTGATAATATGGAATCTAACCTGTTTCAATACCAGAAATCTTGAATCAACATTATATTAGTATTTATTATTTTACTTAAGATATTTTAGTCCTAAGCCTCGATAAAATGTGAGGGCAAGTTTTTTTCATATAATTATTTTTCACTTTTTACTCCTACCGTAACCGATTTTAGGTTAGGTAGAATCATTTTCTGTAATAACATATGGGGATAAAAAGGGGGTAATGGCTAATGTCAATTAAAATAAACTATTTATAGTAATTCATTAATAATATGCGTCCTTTTTTCCACGCGTCCTTTTTTTCGCGCGTCCTTTTTTCGCGCGTCCTTTTTTCCGCGTCCTTTGGTCTCGCGTCCTGTTTTCCGCGTCCTTTTGTCGTAGATTCACATTTGGGGCATGGCCAAAACTGACGATTTTAAACGGGCATCACAAACCATCAATGAATTAAAGGATGCCGTTGCAGCCTTCTTCGTGGACTTGAGACAACTTACGAGAAATCTATAATATCGGTATAAAGTCTGTCTTGAGAGAGGAGGAACTCATTTAGAACATGTTATAAAGTGTCAATAATATGTATTTCTAAAACAATAAAATAATTACAAGTTCAGTACTGTTTATTTTGGGCTATACAGTGGAACCTCGATTATCCGTCTCTCTATTAACCATCACCTCTGTTAACCGTCAGGGTCCATACGTAAGTTATATTGACTACATAAGTAAAAATTTAGTCATCAATTCATTTTGATTGAGCATTGCGATAAGCCAAACGAAATTCGTTGAAATGTATACGTGCAGTTATGCCACCACCGCATTTTTTATGTAAATAATTTTCTTATTCAGGGCTCTGGATTAAATTTCAATTTAAATAGGTAATTTGAAATTCGAACATTGATTGTGTCACTTAGTCGTTTGATCAATTAAGTTTTGAAAAATGGAGCCTTCCATATCTGGAGCATCAAAAAGAAAACGTATTGTTTTGTCAATTGAAAAAAAAAATAGTATTTTTTGCGCAAATGGAATCGTTGGATGGCCGTGTGAAACATCGTTAAACAATAAAAAAAGCCACACATGAATCACTCGACACGGCTCTGTAATTGTGGTTCGTTCAAAAAAGAAGCAAAGGTGCTCATTTGTTGGCGTTGTTATATAACATGAAATTGAATGGCACTCCTTCATTCAAAGGAAGCAACGGTTGGTTGGAAGAGTTCAAAAATCGCCACGGTATACGGGAACTGAAAATCGAAGTTGAAAAATTGAGCGCCGTAAGTATTGAAGTTGTTGACGAATATATAAGAAAGTTTCAAGCTATGATCGATAAATATGGTTTGACACGCGATCAAGTGTTCAATGCAGATGAAACTGGTTTAAACTACGAAGCATTGCCAACGAAAACACTCTCTGCACTCTCTGAAAAATATGCATCCCGATTTAAAACGCAAAGGCAACGAATCACAGCAATGCTGTGTTCAAATGCAAGGGGTGACCATCGCCACCATTCTTTTCATTATCGATTGGGACAGTAAAAACGTTTGACAGATTGACACGTTATTTCGAGGGAATAAATATAAACGCACTTTCAACTGAATGACATAAACGAATGGCATAAACCAATAGTTAATTTGCAATGAGGACGCAAACGGCTATCTATTGCTGACAGATGATGAAATCGTTGAAATAGCAACAGAGGCGGATGAAACTGATTCAGAAGCTGACGCAGACTTTGACGATGGATATGTCGTTGATGCTATTGCAACAAAGATTTACCTAAAGAAGCTAGAGAAGCTGCATCGAACATATAACAATTCATCGAGTGATACTCTCGGCAAGAAAAAAGCAAATAGGGTAGATTTGATAATTTTACGTCGATTACGAAATTGAGTCGTTGCAAAATGTGAATTAACAATAAAACAAACAAAGATTTCAGAATATTTTAAATCAAATTGATTCGACTGTACTAACATAAATCCCTCTTATATTGCAAAATAAAACATACAAATAAAATTTAAGAGTTATACTATGAATTTTTGTTTTTTATTAATGTTCTGTTAACTAGTGTTGCCCAAAATCGGTCTTGGTCTTGCAGTCTTGGTCTTGTTCTTGCGTTTTTGCAAGACCGAGACTAAGACCAAGACTGCCTATTTTTTGCAAGACCAAGACCAAGGCTAACCTTGCAAGACTTGAGCAAGAACAAGACTAAGCCTGCGAGACTCTTGCGTCTTGCAGTTAGGACTGAGTGTGGTTTTAAAGAGTACAATAGTTCAGGTTTATGCTTAGAGCCTATATGAGACGCAAAAAAATATGTAATAAAAATTTGAAAAACTGGACTTCTACGCATTACGAACAATACCATAAACGTACATACCGAATCAAAATATTCATTTAAAAAAAACACGCAAAGACATGAGACGCAAAGAAGTATTACCAAAAATTTGAAAAATGTGACTTGTGCATTACGAAACATACCATAAACATACATAGCGAATTAAAATATTCATTACAAGAACACTTAAAATTTTGACACGTACTCAGAGGTCATAATTACACTCTAAAAATAAAATATTTTGTACATTCTTTCCCAGCACACTACTTCTTCACTCTGAAATTAATTGTCCAGATTTTGAGAATAGCCCCTTCTAATAATAAAATAATATCTTTGCTTTGCGACGCCGACAGTAATATTGTATCGAAACTTTTTAAAAATGTATCACCTTAGCTGATAAAAAATATAATTAGGTTGGCATATTTTTTTCCTTATAATTTAGTTAAAATACGAGGAATTTAAATACCACAAATCTTATCGGCTAAGACTAAACATCCTTTTTGCTGTGTATGCGATGATACCATTCAAAATTTGCTGAAAGAATGCGGCATTTAAAAGTAACGAGATACCGAGAATAACAAGAAACAAAGAGATAATCCCCATTACAGTGTAAACAAAATACCGATATATTAAAAGTAACGAAGTAACGATAATAATTCTCGGTTTTTTATTCGGTACAAGATACATACAAGATCTATTAAATACCTTAGCATTATACAGTAAAACTGACAATGAAACGGACAATTGAATGATTTTAACATCACAGATAGTGAATGGCAAACACTCGAAAAAGTACATAAGTTTCTAATAAACTTTAAACTTTTGTCAACGAAACTTAGTGGAGAAAAATATGTTACCTTACCACTAGTGAATGTATCATTCAATCTCTTGCTCGATAAAATTGAATCCATCGTAAAACAATTAGATGAGAAACCTAATCGATCTGAAGTGGATAAAAGGCTCATTCTTGGTTTTCAAGCAGCTCGAGACAAAATGCTTAAACATTATAAGAAAAGCAACTGGATTTATTGTATCTCTTTAATTTTAGACCCAAGGCATAAGGCTCAGACTTTTATCATGACGTTATGGGGAAAGTAAATTAAAACAGAAAGCCTGCGAAAATTTAATGAACTTTATAAAGAATATAAAACTCTACACTCAATGAATAAATCTCTAGAATCACCAAGAAATGAAAAGAAAGTATCTGAATATAATGAAGATAAAGACTTAATAGACTTTGTGAAACTGTATGAATGCTCCTCGACTTCATCTGGATCTTATCATAAAGGGTTAGTTATTGACGAGTTGGAGGAGTACCTAAGTAAACCCAGAACCGCCAGCTCCGAAGACATTTTAGAGTGGTGGAGGACACATGAGACAGAATATCCGACTTTATCGAAGATGGCCTGTGATGTTCTTTTAATACCAGCAACTTCAGTACTTGTTGAGAGATTATTTTCTAAAGCATCGTTAGTAATTAGAAAACATAGAAATAGGTCAAGTGATGAGTTAGCCAGATGGTTACTTTGTATTAATTCTTGGTCAAAGGAATAAATATAAAGTATCAGTAATGTAAAAGTCTATTGTGCACTGTATTTTATTTTTTATTCCATTTCATATAAGGTGAGGGCCCATCAATCCCTTTCTAGACAAATAATGTTCTTTAAATTACAGTCAAGTTTATGTTATTAATTTGGTAGTTTTGTTTTTTAACCATGTTTGTGCATACGTAAGCTTGTTAAAAGCAAACGCTGATTAAAAAACAGATTGACTCCTGTGGGACATGGTAGATAGCTCAGCTAGTTAGAGCATAGGCACGGATTGCTTAGATCGTGGGTTCAAACCCCACCCAGTGTCAGTTGTTTAAACATTCATTAATTTGGTTGGTCTTTTTATGGCTATGTTAATTCAAGCTTAGAATGTACCTACTGTGTTACGTTGTTCTAAGATCTAAAGTAACGTTTAATAAATAGCAATAGGCTAATGGGTATTTGCGAGACTTGCAAGACTCTTGCTGCAAGACCAAGACCAGATCAAGTCTGGGAGCGCAATACCAAGACCAAGACCAAGACTGTCTAAGTCTCGTCTTGTTTTTGCATTTGGGCAACACTACTGTTAACCGTCTTTCCGATTATCCGTCGTAACCTTGGTCCGGTACCCTGATGGATAATCGAGGTTCCACTGTACTGTATTACCAGAAAACAGAATAACTATATATTAATGCCAAATATATACAAAATCCCGATTAAAACCATGAAGGCATAAGACGAAAACGACTTCGATTAAAATGGAATAAATATTATAGTGGTTAAGAATTTTTCTTGAAGTGTAGCATTACGAGATTTTGATTTCATCGACCAATCATTCTACAAGTCTGCCTGACAGATTCGGACAATCTCTCTTGAAGTAAAAAAATACAAAATAATGAGAGTGATTATCGAAAATTTACTTTACAACTCTGATTGAAAAGATTCAAAACAATAATTGCTCTTAGTATTTCGAAACAAGAGTTGAAGAAGAATCTATGGCAAATTTCTCTCGACACATTTGAATGAGTATGACAAGAGTTTAGCAATAGGATGGATGCATTACTATTAGGAACTACATGAATACTTAAAACAGTTAACCAAAGCTTTAACCTAACAAAATTAGTATAATTAAATCATCATCATCATCATCATCATCATCCCCCAGCCCTTTGCGTCCACTGCTGGACATAGGCCTGCCTCATTTTTGTCCATTGTGCTCTGTCTTGAGCACTTTTCATCCAATTTCTTGACATGTTCTTGAGATCGTCAGTCCATCGTGTAGGGGGTCTTCCTCTACTTCTTTTGTCTAATCTCGGCCTTCACTCAAGCAATCTCTTCGTCCACCTTTCATCACTGATTCGGGCGACGTGTCCGGCCCAGTTCCATTTTAGTGTGGCAATTCTGGAAATTACATCGGTAACTCCTGTTCTTCGTCTTAAGTCTTCATTGCTAACTCGGTCACGAAGCGATATACTCAGCATTGATCTTTCCATTTTCCTCTGAGCTATTTGCAGCGTTTTAGAACTTGTAGCTGTCAATGTCAAAGTTTCTGCACCATAGGTCATCACAGGCAGCACACATTGCTCAAATGTTTTACGTTTTAAAGAAATTGGTATATCGCTTTTAAAGATGTCTTTGAGTTTTCCATAGGCTGCCATGCTAGGTTTATTCTTCTTCGCAGTTCTCATGTTTGGTTGTCTCTTGTGATCTTTATTTCGTGTCCAAGATATATGTATTTTTCCACCAGCTCTACTTCGTTAACTCCAATATTGATATTTCCGCTAGGTACTAGGTTTATCATGAATTTTGTTTTGGAGATGTTTAGATTTGTTAATCTTCTACCGTCAATGTTCAGGCCTTTCTCTTCCCAGTTAAGTTTTTTAAAAGCATATTCTAGTACCGCGGTAAACAGTTTAGGCGATAAGGTATCACCCTGTCGCACTCCTCTGCCGATTGGGATGTGATCCGTCTTTTCATGTAGTTTCACCGACACAGTTGCGTTTTTGTATGTATTGTAAATTAACCTTGTATATCGGTAGTCAATGCGGCATGCTTGTAGTTCTTCCAGGACTTTGTCAAATTCTACCATGTCAAAGACTTTATGGAAATCTACAAAAGCCAGAACAAGTGGTCGATTGTATTCGATAGTCTTTTCTTTTACCGTTTTAATGCTCTGTAGGTGATCATTTGTTCCAAATCCGGTACGAAATCCCGCTTGCTCTATTGGTTGGTAGAAATCAAGTTTTTTAAGAGGATTCGTTACTATTCTTGTAAAGAGTTTGTATAGGTGACTAAGAAGACTTATAGGTCTGTAGTTTTCTAATTCATGGGGATCTTCTTTTTTGTACAATAGAATTACCTCAGCATTGTGCCATTTGTCGGGTATATTACTGTCCAAAAGGCACATGTTAAAAAGGTTTTTTATCTTCTTAAGAAGGCAAGTGCCTCCGATTTTGATTGCATCAGTAACTACACAATCTTCGCCTGGAGATTTGTTATTCTTAGCTTTTTTAGGGCTAGTTTTATTTCGTCCATTGTGATTTCCGGTAGTAGTTATGATCCTTGGTTGACAATACCCTTTTTCTTTGTTAATATTTCTGGTACTTGATCTTCTCTTCTACTTGCTTTGTGTTGGCTTGTGTATAGCAGTTTGTAGAAGTTTTCAACTCTTTTAAGGGTTTCCTCTCTGTTGGTTGTAAGATGACCACTTCTATCTTTAATCTTTATTATCTGCCTTGTCCCCGTTTTTAGTTTTTTTCTCAATACTTTTATACTTCTATTTTTCTCAATTGTATCTTCGATTTGTTCTTGGTTGTATTTTCGAGTGTCTTGTCTAATAGCTTTGAATATTTCTTTATTTAATTTTTGTAGTTCGCCGGCTTTAGTTCCCGTCTAGCTTCTCATTTCTCTTCTTTTCTGCATAAGTTGCCTAGTATTTTGGCTAATCTTCTCTTCTTTTTCAGTTCTAGGACATAATTTGTTTTGACTTTCCATAAAGCATTTGTTAATTTATTGTTGAAGTCGTTTATATTATTTTCAGTTCCAGGACTTCTAAGTATGTCGGAAATACATTTCTGAAAACTGTAGCATTTTCAATTTCGTTGATTCTTTTAAGTATATTGAAGTCCCCTCGTATACGAAATATTAAAATCACCTTATATATTTTTGATAGATCTAAAAATATTTCGTACGTATTTAAACCCAAATATCTTTTCATTTCTTTTTAGGTCGGCCAAGTTGAAATAAACCATTTTAGAGTTGTTTATTTATTTTACTTCGGCAAATTCTTTTCAAGTTTATGCGTCGCAAAAAGATATCTACGTTTTTATTTCCGTTGTTTGTTTATGTTCAAGTTATCCGATCAATTTTAATAGATAATTTCGTCACTCTCGTTGGAGCAGCTTTCAAGAGTGGTTCAGCGTTATGTCCAAATTCACGTCGAATTTGTAAAGTGTTCTGTTTTCGTCTTTTGTTATGAAGAATATGTAGCATTTTCGTTATCTGTTTTGTGGCAGTAAATGCTTCAATTATTAATGTTTTGAGTGAGGATTGGAGGACATCCTTGTTTTGTTTTTTTTTTGTTCCTGTTTTTATCCAAGGCTTTTGGCAGTTTGGAGATGGAGGTTTTAGTAATGCAGAGAGAGTGGAGCCCTCAGTTCCAGGTTCCAGTTATGGTTTCAGAAACTTAAGTGTGATCATGTGAATCAAGGTAACATTTTGTTCAAATTTTAAACTAAAGACAGACAATTTTTTTATAAAATAATAATTGCTTTCGTTGACATTTAAAATTGTAAATTTTAGGTTTTGAGTAAAGCTGTCAATTTGTGTTTAGTTTTTTTTTGAAATTTAATGTTAATTTATGACAGCTTGTTTTAGTATTTTTGATGTTGATTTGTTTTGTTTTATTTTTTTAAAAGGTTAACCTCCATGCAATTTTGTAAGTTTTGTAGCAATGGAGTTTGTTAATGGATGACACATGTAAGTTTTTGTATTTTGTATTTCTTTATGTAACTGTTTGTGGTGACACATAAATAAAGGTTAAATTTTGTTGTTAAACTTTTTATTTATTTATTTTTTGAGCTAAACCTTTTTTGATTCTTATTTGAAAAAGATATGTTTTTTATGTTTTGATTTTGTTTTCTAATTATTTCCCTAGTTACAACGAGTGGTTGTAATAGGTATAATTAGGCACCTGAAGTGGCGCCCTATATTAAATTCCTTGAGGTGTTTCTTGTTTATTTTTATTTTGTTTATCCCAAGAGCCCTTTATTTCATTTTTTTGTAGTTGCCCCATTCCAATGCCCCTATCTTTTACTTATCCACGACCCCAGCTCTCCTACGAAACCCTGAGTGCCGTTCGCATCAGTAGCGATTATTTTGCTTGCCCTATCTCCACCCCCAATAGTTTTTTTCCCCCAATTTTCTATCTCCCGTATTAATGCCCCCTGTGGTAGGCAAAATATTTTCGTTACAAAACTATCTACATCTGATGGTTTCATCCATGGTTTTGATTTGTTCTTCTTTTTAATCATCTTACACCTCTCCTTCTTTAAGCTTATTTCTATTTTACTTCGCACCATTCTATGATCGCTACTGGTAACAAATTTGTTTAGAACCGTGATGTCTCTGTTCATTTGGAATAGTATAATTAAATAGGTATTTTTAATACCTTTTTTATGACTATTATGTCAACTTTTATGACTATAATGTCACCTTATATGACTAGTTTAGAAGTCTACGTCCGTTTATTTTCTTTCTCAAAATTCCACTATTATAAGTATAACCGTTCACAAAATACGAGGGGGAAAAGACTTTCGTATAGCATTGTATATTTAAAGATACTCTTCACATGATTTAAAACTCCGTAAGATTCTATCGTGACATAAATATATGTTTGTAAAATAACCAGCATGACGAACATCGAGGTATCCACGTTTTTGTAAAAAAGTATATTTTTTTACTTAAAACATTTATTTAGTATATGTACAATTATTACTACAATCAAATAATTTACTATTTACTATATTATTCCTATTTGGTTTAATCACATTCACTCTTCAATCAATAAATTCTTCTCAAACGTCTTCTTCGCAACTGCTTTTAATTGCTCACACGTACCAGGACCAGTATCTTCTACCATCTTGGAGAAGATACCGTTGGAATTCTGAAGTAAAAGATGTGGGTGGTCAAATTCTGCCGCCGTTCCT